AGCCAATTAAAAATGCTATGCCATATTTTACCATCTAATTTGCTGCAGCAGCCAATCTTTTTTTCAGTGTAGTCTTAGAAAAAAATTTTTTGTTCTCAACAGCTTATTCTCATGAATATGTGAGCAATAATATTTTTTTAGCTCATTTGTTAAAAAAAAGAGAGTTTGAAGTATTTCTATTAAAGGTATATCCAATATACATATAATAAAAAAATATATATATAAATGTTATATGATAAAAGAAATATATAAATAAATGTTTTTAATAAGAAAATATTAGAAATAGATGAATTCATTATCAATTGTTCGTGCCTGATTGTCAAACTCCTGAAGTAATTTTATTAAACTATCATATAATAGAGTTTTACCATCGATGGCCCATAAAAAATCTAAATGGGTGAATAATTTATCTGGATTTTCCTCCAGCAGGATAACGTTTGGCAGCTGCTTGTATATCTCGAGAACATTCTAAGAACAAAAATATGGAAAACGATAAAATTTATATTTGTAATATAATTAGTATCATGGCTATAACGAACAATATTAAATTAGTGTAATAACTAATAATAATTTAAGAAATATATAAACAATTACTTTTTAAATACTGTTTTCATATATCTAATATAAATAATGATGCTTAAAGAATGAGAGAAGAGTAAAAGAAGTAGAAGAGAGGAAGAGGAAAAAAGGAAAAAGAAAATGGAAGTAAAAAAGGGAGATATTCTGTTGTTTTCTGTAATCGATTTCAAACATACTCAATTTTTACAAAATGGCAAACGTATGAATTTAAAATGTATAATTTTTCCTAAAAAATTGTTCCTCTTGGTTGAGTCCATAAAAATATATCTTACATAAAAATTAAAAGTGACCTTACCGATTTTGGAGCAAGCAAATCGTTAACGGCATAATATAAAGCCAAGGACGTAGTAATTTTTTTTAAATCATACATTATGGGTGTCATTTGTCTATATTTTTTGTAATTGCCGAAATATCCGTTGTCGAAGGCTTGAAATTTCTCTGCAACAATTAATATTAATTATTCACATAAATATGAAATTGAAAAGTATCTCAAATTTTTTTAGATAAACATAAAATATCACGTGATCGTGAACAATATGCTTAAAAGAACTACTATTTAAACTTTTATTTACATTATTAATAAAGGTAATATATATATATATATATACAAAAATAAAAACTCTTATAACATTTTAATTACATTTTAACGCAATTAAATTAATTTCTCTCTTTATAATTAACATAATTTATATTCCCAGATAGCCAAGTCCGTAGAAAGCAGATTTTTTTAAATGTCTGCTACACATTATACCAACAAAATAGCAACAGAATTGTTACAGAATTAAATACATAATACTGTTAATAGACTGCTAGAAAAAAACATAACAGAATCAGATAATGTAGGCAGGATCTGCTCACTTTTTGCTAACAATTTGCCTTCACATTATGTCGATAGGTGATATTAACAGAACACAAGCCTAATGCGGACAGACTGCCATCATTTTATGCTCGAATCTGCTGACAGTCTGCTAGAAGACTGCAGACATTTTGCTATCTGGGTTATTATATGTTTGAAGGAAAGTGGAATACTTACTAGTAATGATATTTTGATAAAAGTGTTGTATTGTTTGCACGGAAACGCCAGCCGGATAATACGATAAGATTTCCGGTAATGTCGTCTGTAATGAATGACTTAATTAAAAACAATTTTGATTTGTTGTATATTAGAGTATAAACACTTCATTTTATAATTTTTATTGTAAGCTGTAAAAGCAGTGTTACAACTAGCAAAATCGTGCTAAGTTGAAGATTTATAATATACAGTGTTAAGTTGCGCTGGATTGGATCCGGAGACTAAAAACATTATTGCAACGCAGATGGCCTGAGTAATTGCTTTATCTGTACACAGTGTTCTTCCAATCTTAACACTCGTTGATGATAAGGAAGCTATCTCATATATTTCATTAGATTCAAGAAATTCCTAGTAAGCAGAAATAAATATAAGAAAATGTAAACATTTTATAAAACGTAGAATTGTAATTGAAACTACACGAGAGATATATGTAATACAGCTGGTTGAAGTTTGGAATATTTCTGGAGCGATTTAAAAAAAAAATGATTTATCTCGTTTCTAGTTTTGCAGAGAGTAACTTTTAAATATCGTGTCAAACTTCAACCAGCTATTTGTATAGCTAATATGATCACTTTATTGAACATTTGAAACTCTTTTTAATATAATACCGAATTATCTACAATATTTACAAAAACATTTCATAAAAGAATACTAAACGTTTACTAAAAAAACTTTTGAGGTAAAAAAAACTTGTAATATAATATATTATAATATGATATATAACACAGCCACACAAAAAAAAATTTTTTTTCTGATCTTGGAGTCTGACCATGTTTACTGTATGTTTTTTGGATCGCTGAATCCGAATCCGAGGTCTATTTAACCCCATCACATCAGGATTTTGCCATAATGTAAGTCAACTCCAATAATCACGTATGTCAGACTTTTATCTTGATAAGTACGTTATTTTAATTTATAACCGCATAACTCTGGTCATTGCACCTTTCTTTGCAACAATTTTTCTTTTGTCTCAAGCACCTGAAACATACTGTTGTGTCCTAAAAACACCTTCACCCGAAAAGTGTCTATTTTTACGTTTACTCATGTAATGTGAGTCATTCCGGTGAATTCCGGAATAACTTACATAATAACTCCGGAATAATGGAACATTCCGGTGAATTCTTAGAAAATTGTTTATTATATTGTATTATATAATGTATTATATATATTATATATATATAATGTATTATATATTATACTTTTAAATAATATATATATTAAAAAATTCTTTTTCTATCTCATTTTTTATTATTTTATTTTCAAAGTTACATTAAACGACTTTATGCAAGAAAATAATATTGCTTACATAAAACAATGCGAACGTACCCGCTGACGCTGAAAAACAGCCAATAAATGTTGGTCGGGGTATACACGGCGTCCAGAGGTAAATTAAGTTTCCCATCCGGTGCTACTGTGCCCACGCATTCTACCTCATTTCCACGCTTCGTCATATAATAAACAGATATCGGTTGCGCGAAGTGATTGTGGACCTATAACACGCAAGAAGCTAATTATTACTGATAAAATATAATTCGTTCTCCTCTGTTTACCTGAAGAATGCTTCTAAGAGTGACGATCGTGCTACCCTCTTCCACAATAATATCCGACACAATACCCCATTCCTCAGAACCTTCCTTTCGGTGTTTTAAAGAGAAGAATCTCTTATCCGCTCTCAACACAGGTATCGCCAATTTGCTTTGAATGCCTTTAAACTATTAAATCATCGTATTATGTTAATTATATTAATAATGATAAAATAGTCAAACATTTAATTTTATTAATTTAAAACTCAACAAGCCATATCATATATGACATATTAAAAATAGATTGTTGATCTGTTTAGATTCAATGTTTTCTTATTTATAATCTGAAAGTTATTATTTTCAGCCGCTTGTTGTCGTCTATTTTCGACGTTTTCATTAAAAGATCGACTCCAGATTCGTCAAAGAATCGTAAATCTTTAGAATTCTACATTCTATGACTATATAATAACTTACAGATATGGAGAATTTACTATCTTCTCTGTCCTTCACGGTCTCTACTTTCAACTGCTCAATCAGACGCATGTCAGCCAGCTTGGACGTCTTTGATGCGAGTTGTATCGACGCACCAGTTTCGAGGATTACTTCCATATACGAGTCATTATGGTCTCTTATTCTCGATCCATCATCAAAAATCTGTAAAGGCATCTTTTATATTCGTTTTTCAAATTAATAAAATTGTCATTTTATCAACAAATGTTAAATCATGAAATTATATTGAGTAGATAAGTGAATAGAAATGTAAGAGTCTTCATTATAATGACCTTGAAGAAACTGTGCTCCAGATCGAGTATTATCGCCAGGCCGGTCTCATTTTTCAGCACATACGGCGCCACTTTCCTACTGGGCTCTTTCCCGCTGGCCTCCATAGCCGAGGAAAATGATTGGCCCAATTGTTTCAGAACGTCTAAACATGTCTTTGTGACAGTTATCTCCAGATTATCCTGTCCCAAACAAAAGAAAAATCTTACATTTGGCATATAACTTCGGAGTAATATCGTGCTAGTTGCGATAAATTTCGTTTAAATTCACAGAAAATTTCTTATCATTTAAGATCAAACACAAATAATATCTACAATCTACATCTATCAATATTTGATATTTATATCCCGATAAATTTTGCTTACAAAAGACGTAATGTCGATGGACATCTTGGTAGATTGGTGTAATTCTTCGATTTCGCTCTCCGAAGCAGGACTGACCGCGCTGGCGCCTCTGGAGTCTAGCATTATGTCATTAAATTGAACCTAACAAATGAATCGATGTCAATTAACTAAATATTTATTAGAGATAAAAGGAAGGATGCTAGAGTTACCCAGAATTACCTTCGTTTTCAATTCCCACGGCGTTGAGACGCGTTTACCATTAATGGAGCTTTCTGTTGGCTCGATCAATGGTTCCCACAACGCGAGACGACTGTTATAATACGACATGATCACCGACATAGTGCAGTCCATGCTCATCTGCGAGCACAAGTCACGTAAATCATAATACTCATAAGAGGAGAATAATAATAATAATAATAATAACACAAAGAAACAAGATTTCTCAGCACTTGAATCGTGATTCTTATGTGCTTTTAATTGTTAGAAAAGAATACAAGGTTAAAAAAGTTCTATCATTCACAAATTCTGAGAAAAATAACGAATGGAGAAAAGACATCAAAAACAACGTTAAGACATAAGACAATAAGACAAGCGGAGATTCTAAAAATTGAAGGGTGATGGAATTTTAAAAAAAATATTCTTTTCCACTATAAAAAGTCTTATAAAAAACACTCATTGCTTGAGAAATAAAAAATAATTGATCAAAATTTGTTCTTCAATATAAATAATAAAAAAAAGATTTTCATAAATAGCTTACAGATTTTGTACTCCAATCGTTGATGTTGCTTTGAAAACCCACGTGAAGCAGTAACATTGGCAGAGTTTTGTTGCCGACACCCGCCTCCAGAGTGAACAAGATCGTCGGCGCCGAGACGATGGCCAATTCGGGCTTATAAGGTGCTGCAACCTCATCGTCTGGATACGTAAACTCTTCGAGTGCTTCCATCGCAACTTCTAAAATAAATTGATCCGATGATTTAACAAATAAAAGATAATATTTTTTTGTACAACGAATAATTATCAAATTATCATTATCAATTTAACCTGTTTTTAAAAACCAATAATTATTCTCTTCGAAAGGTGTGACGATCCACAATCCTTTATAATTAGGCTCGGGTTTAACGACTTCCTTGTCCTCTTCCTCCTTCCTTGTCACCGTATGAATGACTTTACTCAATATTTCAATCACACCTGAAAATTGTTACATTTTATTTTATTAGGTATTAACTATCAACATGTAATTCGTGAATTACCTGGCGAAACAGACATGTGTATATCCGTGCATCGGACTTCTAAATGGAGCCCTTTTCCCTCTGGTGTAGAACCGGCTACGCCAATGCTGCATGGCCTTAAGACCTATGATAATAATTAACAATAACAACAATTAACATATAATAGATATTAGGATGGATTACTTTAGGATGGCTTTGACTTAACAATAATAATTTAAAGAGAATATATTTATAAATATTAAAACTATAAGATTATATAATACTGTAAATTTATTTGATAATAATGATTTAATTATCTAAATTGATACATTTCAATTAATCATTGAAGTATATCAAGTGTCTCTGTAAAAAGTGATTGGAACTGAAAATTTATACTTCCTGAATAAAAATAAATATTGTATACATATGAAAAAGTTTAATTTTAACAATACAATCTTATAGCTTAAATAAAAATTTTTTTATCTTATCTGAATTATTTTCTACAAACATGTTTACTTCTTGTTGAAATAATATTTGATCTACATTCTAAATTACCATTAAATTATTTTTTATATATAAATATGTATTATATAGAATACTATGTGTATGTGTTATACCTGATAGATCCAATCAGCCCTCTTCGTAGGATTATATATCCCTGCCAGTAGCGAAAGATCTTTAATGGAACCCGAGATCACCTGATGCTCTCCCATGATACGCACTTTCAGCAACAATTCTGTATTCAGTACTATGCAATTCGAATTGATGTCATCCATGTCTTCGAGCAAGATAATATCTGGCTTTTCTACGTGCAGATTCATAGTTAACATTTTGGGTGTCGAGGCAGCCAACTGTTGCTGCGCCGGTTTTTTCTTTGGTGCCACCAATTCATTTTTCGAAGAGGAAGTAGTAATCGTCTTGTTCGGCCCATCCACATCGAAGAAGTCCTTGATCTTCATGAGATAATCGAGGGAGACGATGATGCTGAAAGAGAACACTCGCACATCGGCAAACGTGTCGTTCGGGCTTTGACGCACTGTCACATCCAACATACTCCTAACATTGTACTTTGCGTGTTCTTTATCGAGATGATCCTCACTCGGCCCTGGTACGCTGCTGGTCCTTTCCATGATTCGCACCAACGAGCCCTCTCGACTCTGCCGCATGTCATCTAGCGTGCAATTCATTAGCAGAATCGACGTGGCCAGCAGACCATTTGCGAACACACGGCCCTTCACGGCAAAATGTGTGAGACTGAAGCGGGCTAATCCATGCTCGGGTAGGTGCATTGGTGACGCCTGCGACTGCAATAACTTAGAGCCACCGGTGAAGAGATTGATCACCAGACTATCCATAATGAATTCAAACTTCACGGATGTGTGAGCATGTTGTTCCTGTGTTTCAGTCGACGGTATTTCTCGCGATGTGTCGATCTCATACTTGTACCCCGGTTGAATCTTAATACAGCAAATATATGCATTTAGTCAATAATACAATGCAACAAATTTTCAACAACTTTTCTGTTTCTCAACAAGTAAGGAGTGTTTCTCGTAAAATTTTTTACACTAAAGGATAAGACTTTTGAAAAAATTCCACACCCTTCAATTTTTAGAAACATTACTTCAAATTCTTTATATAATGCAAATTTGTAACATAACTATAAGAAATTTAAATATTTTTGTAATATACAAAAAAATAATAAATGATATAAAACCTTTTATTAAAAATAATACATGAGAATCACCATTCAGGTATTTAGAAATAGAAACTTTGTCACACAGTGTAATTATATAATAATTGTTATATATTATCATAACAATCATTCACCTCAAGGCCTCCGCTGTATTCGGACTTCACGGCGGATGGCACGGCTTGCACGGGTTTCGAATCCTCGAAAGTCTCCCCCAGATTCTGCTCTAGCACTTTCAGAACCATAGCGTAGTCCTCTTTACTCAACAGCAGATTGATCTTGTTCAATCTGCCAGACATATCGATGTCCGGAATAGAAGTAAACCAGGCGGTAGAAAGATTACGTTTCATGAGCAGCATAAACGTTACTGGTTCCAGCAACAGCACTTCGTTCTCGCTGGTGAATTGTTTTATGTTCAGTCGAACTCGAGACAGTTTCAAGTTCTGCAGCTCGATTTTCATTTCATCGACCACGGGACGCTCATCGGTTTCTTCATTCATCACATCTAGCTTTTTGAAGACGTTACATACCTGCTCGCATAGAATTTTATGGAGGGGTATTTATTATTTGTTTTATAAGTATGTTATATTTAAGTTAAAATTAATTTTGAATAATATTTAAATATTCAATTTATATTTTTTATTTCTCAAATATTTAAAAATGGTAATCTCTTACTCTAAAACGTGAAACATTAGCTTGTTAAAAAATTAGCTTGTTATATTCACACAATAATTATAACATACGTCTCGTAAAAATAACATAAATCAGTCTATTGTAATAATTTATCGAAAATGATTACATATAAAATTAATATGATAGATTTGTAAATGTGTGTACATATCTCTAATTCTATGAAATTTCTAAATTTTTTAATTGGAGCTAAACTAATCGGAATAAACTTATCATTCTGTACCATGAGATTGCCCATGTCTAGCATTAAGCTGTGCTCGTTCTTGGAGCTCATCGGCACGTATATAACGGGCGCTTTAATTCTAACATTCAGCTCGATGCGTGAAGCACTTTGTTGGACATCCTTGATGTTTGTCTTCGCGGTTTCTGCTGCTGCCGCCGATGCGTCTTTGATAGCTTTCTACGCCGTTTGAAAGTTGTTCAGGAAATTCATAACGCTGGTGACGAATGCATTCAAGAAGACGATGCGATGGCAACCCATCGACACTTTGACAGACATATTTTTCTTGTCCTTTTCCCATTCCTCGATGTTATACATCACCGCTTGGATCTGATGTGAAAAAAAAGATGAAAATTGCTTTTAATCCTAATTTATGTTCGCTCCCAAATTTTCTAATTTCGCGGATCTAATGTACTTTAAATCAATGTATTTTTGTTTAATTGATCGATTTTTTCATTTTTCATTTCAAAATCCGAGGAATAAAATTATATAATTTAAAATTACGTAAGATTGTGAAAAGCATTTGTTACAATTTTTCACAAAGTAGTTAAAAAAAAATGTCTAAGACATACTCTATAAGTCCACTAGAGTCACGAATGCCGATTAGGATTAAAGAAATAACTGTAGATGTAAAATAAATATAAAAGCACCTACCTGCAAAGACTCAGTACCCTCCACAGTTACGATATCCTTGTACATAGAAACAGGATTCAGATCTTTAATGCTGATGGAGGTCAAATCAGCGTTTACTTGCAAATACGAAGACTTGCTGAGAAAACTGGCGCTGATACCTTCAATATAGAACGCGGTAATGTCCCGGGTAGCGCTGGAAATCTTCAGATTGATCGAGCCAATCTTGGCGTTTACTTTTAGATCGATGCACTCAACAGTTCGTTTTTTACGTCGTCCGGTGGGTCTCAATCTTTGTTTTTGTAACTGTTCTTTGAGAAAACCAGAAGTTTCCTCCTGAATAGAGGTCAAACGGATTGATCGAGAATGTTCGGCTTCCTTCTTCTGAACATCTTCGAGCGAGTCTATTCGATCCTGAATGTACGTACTAAATCGTAGCAGCTCGATAAGCGCTTCTTGGTGTAACAATGTGTCCAGCGAAGTGAATTCCATTCGAAGCAGTTTCACGACAGAACCGTGGCGCGTAGTAAACTCTGGCGAGCGCTTGTTTACATTTACATATCGCACGATGATCAAATACTCGTCTCCCCCGGCCGACATTGGAGTGTTTACCATAAAGATCTCCTGACCCTCGTACAGCTGTCGCATTTGCACGCCACCCAATCTCAATTGCACCTCTTGATCGTACGTACGTTGTAACATTTCTGCCTCCAGCTGCAGCACCTGGAATCTGAAAGGAACGAGTAAATTTAGAAATCTGTTGAAGTCCTTCGCAAAAATTTTTCTCAGAATTTTTATACAAATTAGAACACTTTTTAGAAATATTAAGAAAGTCATCTACTAGAAAGTCAGCATATATTTCTTCTTAAAATTTTTCATATATTTGAAAATTCTGACATATTCTAAGATTTAAAAAATTTTTCGTTCTATGGTTTCTGAAATATATCTTAAACTTTTTCAGATTTTACGAGATCTCATCAGAAATTATAGAATAAGAAATTTTAGAAATATTAGAATTTTTTAAAATTCACTTATATGAAAAATTTCTTAGAAGATATAAATTTATTCTGAAAAGTATTTGAATTTATTACATAAAAAAGTGTGAGAAATTTTCTCAGAAAAGTTATAAAATTATTCAGAAATTCTGAAATTTATATAAAAATTATGAAAAATTATATAAGCAATTCTTAGAAAAATTTTCATCAGATGTTAATAAAAAATTTCATTATAAGGTAATTAAAATAAAAACACGAAACATGTGTTTCAAACCTAATAAATTCCAAGGGTACTGTGACATCGTCTCGTATGGAAACCGACAGCGTGAACTCTTTCATCTCGAATTTCATCTCCAAGTCAGTGGTCTGCTTCATTGGCGCGGTAGCTGATGTTTGGTGATGCTTTCTTTTATCAGCAATATTGGATATCGTGGAGCCAAGTTCTTTCAACGATAACCGAGAGATGACTTCAGCGACAACTGAGAGATGGACTTTGAGAGAGAGGTACGCTGCAACTCCCCGGGCTTTTCCTCCTGAGGTAGAGAAATGCTCTGCGCGATTGAGAGCGCCTGAAGGAGTCGAACATCTGTTATGTTCACTGTAACTGAAGGTAGGTGACCGAGGAGCCGTAATTTTGGCAACAAAGGATCATCCGTCACTAGGCACTTGTGGAACTGAATTTCCAATGTAGTTGGATGGAGTAATGTCAGAGAACTCTCGGCATTTGCCAAGGCTGATCGCCATTCTTCATTCGGTAGCGAGACCAACACCTAATGCAATAAATTTTAAGAATATAACTATTTATTACAAATAAAATATTATATATAAAATAATATAATTTTGTAGGAATTATTTTTTTCACAGAAGTTTTATTTATTAATTATTGATTTATTCTTATCATCCTGAATGTCACTTATTGTTTATCACATTTATTATATATAATACATAGATCTAACACAAATTTATTTCTCTGTATAATATTTATTAATTTTTTATGTAATATTTGACTTCCATGTTTCATCTTTCCACATATTATTCATTAATTTACAACATATCGTATAACTACTGAAATTGTAAATTAGAACTATTATTACCTGAAAGTTAACTATCTTCAAAACGAATTTGTCATAGCTGTGCTCTCTTAGATGCAACATTACTTCCGCCTCGCTCTTGCCCATGCTAACCAACTGTTTAACGCTAACGCCAGCCAAGTCACTCTTGCCCTTCTCCAAAGAATGCATCTTTAAACTACCTAGGTTCACAACGATTAATGCCTTCGAGTCTTCATAGAGACCACCGTGCGGTATTATAAGTTGCGATGCCTGCATATCCACTTGTATGTCCAATATCGAATGTTTTTCTATAGCATACTCCAATCCGAGTGCCGACATTTCCTTTAGGCCTTCCAATTGTTCTGCCGCGGCTATTTGCAGCTGACTCAGCATCGAAGAGTCTTGCACCTGGAAAATATTCATTTATGTTAAACGAATAGTTCACAAAAAAAATAAGAAAAAATTATAAGATAAATTCACGAAAAATTTTAGTTGGTTCAAGAAGTTTTTTTATTTTCTACGAATCCATACATTGTGCATTCGATTAAAAAGAATACCTTAAACATATCGACTAGCTCATTAATGGTTTGCGCGTCATAGATGATGTCGACGGATCGGGACTTGACGACTACACGGTCACCGCACAGCCTGTCGAGCGGATTCTTCTCATAGGAGACCGACAGCAGGGCGCAATCAGAGCTACCATGTTCTGGGATGAAGAGCGAGGGCACCCGACCTTTTTGTGTTGCGCCAAGCAATTTCATGTCGCTAATAGAGGCAGTGACAAAGATCGCGTTCGCGGATGGTCGCGACTTGAAGCCTGCTCGTACGCCATGTAGCTGTAGGTCCAAGACACACGGGTACTCCTTGTCTGTGTCCAGCAAAGAAATTTGCAGCTCATGCAAAAGGAAACGTGTGTCGATCATCTCGTATGTTTCTGGATAATGCTCGGGCACGGAATTCTCTTGATAATCAATCGCCCGATAGAGTTTCTCCTTCTCCTGTGGCGTCATCGCCTCCTCGAACCTAAACATCATTATTATTAATATGCTAGTTACGTTACGTTCGTTAAAGATAATAATAATAAGCTAAGACAAGAATAGGCCAATAAACGATTACAAAACATTATTTATTGACACACACATATAATTATAATTATTTAAAGAAATTGATACCTATCTTGTCTATTATCTTATTTTATTATTGTTAATACGAACCAGATAAAATTAATTTGAATTTAATATACGTCGATCTCACAATTCGTTAAAGACAAATTTTATAGGATAGTTGAAGTATATAAAAACCTCTCTGTAAAACTATGCAAAAATTTTCTGAAAGCTTGATTTATTAAAATGTTTAGCAATAAACCTGCGCATGATGGCCGCAGCCGAGTTGAGTTCCTTCGTCTCCTCGACCTGCGAACTGGTCCACAGGAAACCGAACCAACCTCGCTTCGCCTTCAGAGTCTTTTCCCGTTCTGCCAGTCTCTCAACTTCCATTTCGATCTGCTGTCGGATAATCACTAAGTTGAAGATGTCCAGTTTCCTTTCATAGTCTGTCAGGCGTTCCTCGATCTCTTTTGCTAGCTTCCTCGTTGTTAGTTTAGTCTGATAGGCCTCGGCATAGGCGCGGCAAGTATCGCGGTGAAGCTTCATGTGATCCCAGTTCCAGTTGCGATGACACCGTCGCACGGTTTTCTCGAGAACGCAGGTGTACGCAAAACGCCACCACTCCTTGTAGTGGCCACGATACGATGTCAAATTCGGTCGGTATTTTCGATACGGTGCGGCTTTTTGTGCCTGATCCAAACCCTCTCCCAACTGCACCAAGGTCTGATACTGACGCTTTGTTAAGCCAATCCGTAGTTTCTGCATCTCTAGATCCAGCCATACCTGCGAAAAGAGAAGTAAGATACAAAATGAATCTAGGTTGAAAGTCTCTCAACTGCAAGGACAAATAATTAAAGAGAGAGTGTAACAGTTCTAAAAATAGACATTTTTATCATTTTTTTTTAGAAAATTATCAGAAGACACGATGACGAGATAATGTTCTGTGTGCGTGCGTGCGTGCGTGCGTGCGTG